CAGGGGTAGGGGTAGGGGTAGGGCCACCACGGACCGATGAGCGGCAATAGCAACCGATGCACTGGGCAGCAGCAACAGTAGCCACTGCTGCTACTGCTGCTGTTGCTGTTGTTGCTCGCATCACATGGAGCTGGATCTTAGGTGTTCACCCGGGGGGAGGGCCGGATGGAGGAGGACCCTCCCCCTCTAGAGGGCTGCGAAGGATCTAGAACAGCGGACACGGGGCGCGACTCCTGGATAGGGGACCGTAGCACTGCCAAATATGCCCCGGGGGGGCCCCCAGGGGTGGTCCCCTCCCTCCTACCATTCCCCTTTGTGTTGGAGCGTCATGGGCATGCATGCGGTATATGGGTGCACATGTGTGTACATGCTTCAGTAATGGCTACACGGGCGCTGAGGCAGGTAGATGTGATGAGAGGTTGAGACAGGGGCCGAGACTGCAACCCCGTCTGTCTCTGGCGTTTGTATCTTTCTGTGTGCCTGTGTGCGTGTTTCATAGCCGTTTGCATGTCATCTGTAAGAAGGTGATGGGACACCTTCCTTGCCTTGCCCCGCGCCTTGCCTTCCATCCTGGCTCATGCGTTCGCCACCACGATCACTGCCATCATCGTCATCATCATCGCCATCATCATCGTCACCATCATCATCATCACCATACCCGAAAACACTATCCGGCTGACAGGAAAATTTTCGGGGAGGGCCCCGAAAGGTTACTCAGAGGGTTTCGGACACGGCCGAAATTTTTGGGAACCCTGGTGAAGAACCCTGACCATCATCACCATCATCATCACCGTCATCATCACGACGTGCATCATGTGGTCGTTGGCTCTCACTGCGCGGCCCTCTGCCTGGGGTGCTCTGGCTCCTCTGGGGTTGCACCCTCGTCATTGGTATTCCATTTCCCCCGTTCCCTTCCCCCGTTCCCCACCTTTCCGGGCGTTGCCTTTCCTACCGCCTCATTCGGCGTTCGCGTCCCACTGGTGAGTCCCACTCAGTTCTTAAACCCCCCTCCTACCCTCTCCCCCTCGTACCCCCTCCTACCCGCTCTCCAGGTGGCCGTCTACAAGGGCACCCTCCCGGGCTGCCCGCATGCCTACGACCTGGACGACCATCACCGGTAGGGGGGTGAGGGGGAGAGCAGTCGTTCCCGGGACAGGGACACAGCACTGCCGATTAAGCAGCAAGAAAGGGAAGGGGAGGAGGAGGCGAGGTCGGTGAAGCCGTGCTTTCGTTTGGAAGCACTGCTCGGGGTGTAGCCTGAGAGTGTGTGTGTGTGTGAGTGTATGGACACGTATATATAGGTGTATGTCTGTATGTGCCACGGCAACATGACGACAGCAGGCGGCCACCTGCCGCCCACTCCGGGGCCATTTGCGAACGCGTTTCTAGAGTCTTGTTCGGGTTTGCAGCTCTCCGCTAACCCCCCCGACCTCCACCATCCCTTTTCGAGGGAGGGTTCTCCTCCTTCCCCTCCATTTCCCAATTCCGCTCGTCCTCCCCCTCCACCTCCAGGCCCCCTGGCCTGCGGTTTAAATTTGTTTCATTCATTACGGTTCCGTCCTCGCTCCTGCCCTGCCCTGCCCCATTGCTATGTCGGCCTCCGCCTCCAAGTTTCGTCACCAACAAGCCGATGTTGGTGTGCGGCAACACCGCCTCCATGGTCGGGGAGACCTGGCTGCGACCCCACTTCACGGTCATTGGCGACCGGGCGGTGCACTTCGGGCAGTTCGACTGCAGCGGCCCCAAGGTGACGGCAGCCTCGCCAGCCACCAGCGGGTTGACAGGCGCCTGCGCGGGCGGGGCCTGCTGCTGAGAGCGGGGTCCAGCGGGGTCCAGCGGGCAGAGCGGTTGGAGATTTAGAGGATTAAACCAATAAAAAAGGATTTTTAAGACGATTTGGGAAAGCTATATTGGAAGATTGTTGTGATAACAAAAAGGGTTGAGGGTTGAGCGGGGTCTGTTTTGGTGAGCACAGTTGCAGGGCCAGGCCCCGTTTCGGCAAGTGGTTGTGTTGTGTGGTTGTTTTGTTGGCAGCTGTGCTGAGTGGTAGGTAGATGTAGTAGTGCAGCAACGACAAATTTGTTAGTTTTGAGTATTGGCTCGACAAGGCGCGCCTCGTAGCACTGCATCATTCCAGACCTGTCGGGTGATGCCTTCTGGGGTGATTCGCTCAGGTTGCGGCAGGGGCTGGCTTGTGCACTGTGTGTAGGCGCTTTGGCAGAGGCCCTGTTTGCGCGGCTCCAGGAACTGTTTGGCTTTTAGTATTTTGAGTGCAGTTATAGGAGGTTTGGCATGCATGAGCATTCTTCGCCTACAACCACCCCCGACAACTAATGCACCCATCCGCGACAACAAACATCCTCGGTGACAACTTAGCTTGCAGAGCGAGGTTGATTGGATTTCTGGGGGTGTTATTAAACGCAAAAGCAGCATCGGGTGTGTCATGTGCATCATGGGCAAATGCTGTTCACACACCTCAGGAATTTGTATGTATACATACAAATGAGCCTGTACGCGTCGTTCACTATCTTCTATGCTTCTTCTAGATGGGTGCTTGGCCGCTTTCACCTTTCAAGATTGCCAGGCCAACATGACAAGTCTCGACGCCGACGCAAAACCCTTTTAAACGCTGAGGGAAACCGACTGGACACTCGGGCTTCTTCACGCTACAACAGCGCCGATTTACTGCCGCCATCATCACACCTTCAGAACACACACTCGCGCGTGTTTTACCACTTTAAGTGGATGGCGCAGCCAACTCGTGGAAAGCCGTGTATCACAGGAGCCAATCAAGAGAACACATGGGGGAGGAGGAGGATCCTTTGGTACGTGCTTTAAGGGGCTTAGATGATGTTCTCTCACACCACGTGGCTCGCAGCCCAGCCAAACCGCTGTTATCCAACGGTCGCAGGTTGCGTCGTTGGCCGTCCTCCTGCTGCTGCTGACCCTTCCGTCAGCATAATCATGAACAAAACGCAGTGTACGGAAACACTTCCTCGATCTTGATCACTGCGGAGTATGTCGTACACTAGACCCTCCATACGTGACTGATCAGCACAGCTAATCACGGCACATCACGGCACTCTGCATCCTTACGCTTGCAAGCAAACACAGTTTTCATGCCACACTCGCCCTAATGTAAAAGCTTGAGAAGGTGAAGCCGGCTCGGTTCAACATATGCGCAAGCGTCGACATCATGGATGCGCGGCATTCCCTGATATGTACGGCCGCATATGTGTGCACATCGACACAGGCGAGAAATCACCGCCGTCGTCACCTTCCACCAGTTTCACCTGTTTTGGAGTTCACTAGCGTAGACTCCCGTGGGTTTGACTAGACATCTGATATGCGTGGGATCCATGCCATTTAAACCGAAGCGCAGCAAGCTCAGATCTAGACTCCCTGAGAGAGCGGTTTTTTTGACGGTAGCGTATAGAAAGATACATGCCGTGATATCGGCCTCGAAAGAGAGCGCCACACATTTGCGAATAGCATACCACATGAAAAGTATGAAAATGAGCATCTCATTTCCCAGGCAAGTGCACCCTTGAAGGTTGTTGCCCACCTCGCGGCCCTACGATAGGCCTGAGGGCCGCACAACAACGCACGTGTTGAGTCGTCTTGTTGCCAGTCCTACGGGGTCCTGCCTACCTCTGCTTCGTTGTACGGTATACGGCAGCAGTACACCATCAACCATGGATACCCCGTACACCTGAATGCATCCGTTAGTCCGTTCATCCAGCTGTTCGACACAACGACCAGCAAGCAGTTATGTTTTGTACGACAGTATGCGACAACGCGCAACAGCTCAACCTCTATATCTCAGCACGTACACCCCTACAACCACTACACTACAATAACCTACATGTCTGTATTGCTAATTGTATTCGCCAATCATCCGTAATTGACCGGTCAGTATAATCATCCGTGCTTCCAAATGCAAATGCATTTGCCACAGTCAGATTTCCCGCCGCACTAATCTTGTCGTGCTTCCATCGAAAACAAACGGGCATTACACAAACAATGTTGCTGCTGCTGCAGCTGCTATTAGTAACAGCAACAGCAACAGCTTAAATAACCCATCGCCCTCAAACCAACGACCTGGCATCCGTTGAAAATAGTGGATGGAACAAATCCTACTCGACACACGCACAAAGAAAAGTACGACAGTTCTAGGATAGCAAATCACCTCCCATGCCTTCTACTACCTACCTACCTACCTACCCGACCATCAGGATTGTAGAAAAGCCAAACTAAATCCAAGAGGCGCAAGGATGAAGAACAACAACAACAAGCAGATCCCGGCATGCAATATTGTGGAAGTCAACGATTCGAACCTCACCCTTTACAAAAACTTTTACTTACATCGGTACTGTTCGCATCTATTTCAGATTGGATGTACGGCCCGTACGGCGTAACAAGTACGGCAGCGGGGACGCTGACCAACCACAAGGAACTTTCCGCCGCGCGCCACCATGCATTCCAAGGATGCAAAAGTACGTGTATCATAATCACACATACACCGAAAGAAATCAAATGCGCATCCGTTCAAAATTGCATGCATAAGTTCATGTACGCCAAGAAGCAATAATTCTTAATATGCTTTCAATGTTAATCATGTTGTGCATCCGTTTGAAGGTATCAATAAACAGGAGTTCAAAATGTCAACCTCACCCTCAACCTGCGCATCCGTTCGATGGCCAATCCAAGCATATGGCTACGCTGCATGTACGGCAGCAGCCGCACCAACCTTTTTTATTCATCTCGCTTATGCGCGTATCTTATCTTTGACCGATACATTTCTAGAGGGGTGGACAGCAGCAGTCGACGTCTACTTTGCCTAGCAGCACTCAATCACCCGCAGCAATACGGGTGCATCTCCCGAAAGCGCCATCATCTCTATCAACCCAAGTAACGGCCCTCAAACTCCCAAAGCCTTGGGGCGACGGCTCTACGACGGATGATGGCGACGGAGCAAAGCTCCCCCCGTACAAGAGCACAGAACTCGGGGGAGTGAAAGCGGTGCATGTCGTACAAAACCTAGTCAGCGTCGTACTCGCTTGTAACGTAACCCGTGTCGCCCATCCAGTTCACCGACGCTTCCGAACCCTCCGATTTGGCTCCGGAATCGTCGCTATCGCTGTACGTCACGTAGCCATTACGGCTCGACACCTTGGCGGCGGCGGTGTACGGCAACGTGACGGTGCGTAGCAGCTGCCCCGTCGCTGCGCTGCGCCACACGCGAACCGCCGTACCGTCCGTACCGCTTATCTCCAGGGACGTCAAGCAGCTCATGTGTGCCAGGTGCTCCTCGACCTTCTCCGTGAGCGCCACCTGCGCGGACCGGGGCGGACCGGGGCGGACCGGGGCGGACCGGGGCAGACCGGGGCGGACCGGGGCGGACACGTCAGCAAGTAGAGCAGTACCGCAACGTCCAACGGTACAACATTTTCCAACAGCTGCCGCAGCGGCAGTAGCACCCGGAGGACACCCACTCGCATCACCGCATATAGAAGCTTTCAAAGCCTCACATGCTCGATTGTCAAGCCATACACACATACGTACATACATATGGCACCGCCCCGGGTTCAAGTCCGCCTGCCGGCTACTCGGGTGTTAAAGGAGTGGTGAAATGGGAGGTGGGCCCTCAATCATATGGATAATGGACGCGATATAATCAACTTGCGAGCTAATCCGGAACTAAGTTGATGCGCCGTTGATCCGCTATTTGGTCGGCGATTTGATCCGCGATTTGGTTGGATGCTGGTGGTGAGTTGCCGAACCATTTTGAAGTCGGATGGGGTGACGGATTAGGGTGCCCCTCTAGCAGGGGAGAGCAGGGACTGCCCCGGGAAAGGGGGCCGCTGGCGAAGTTTCACCACCCTGTAACAACATACATACACACCTTTCCGCTTTTTCCGACACCTGCCGTAAGTACCGCATCCATAAATGCCACCATCTCGCATGCAGGCCCTGCCGTATAATACATAAACACAACGCCGTACAACTAGAGCTCACCTTGCCATGATAGCTGAGATGCTGCAGTTGCGGCCAGTTGGCCGCCATCATGGCGAGGCTATCGTTTGTGAGGACGCACAGGTTGGCCGCCGACAGCACCGGGTTGTTCCAGGCTCGGTAGCTGAACGACTCCAGGGTATGTACACCCGACAGCCCCGTCCAGCCGTCCGGATCGCGAGTACGGATGTCCACTTGGTCCATCCGGATGCAACGCAGCTGACCTAGCCGACCTATCAACTCCAAGTGCTCGTCGTACAACATGCACGCCGTCAGCGTCAGGCCGTGCAGGACACGGCTCAAGCCGCCACCGCTGCGGCCCCCGCCGCTGGCAATGGCAGCAGCAGCAGCAGCAGTAGCAGCAGCAGCAGCCGGCTGAGCTGCTGGGGGAGCCGCACCGCGCCTCCGCCTCCTGTCACTGCCGCTGTCACTGCCGCTGCCACTACCGCCGCCGCCGCCGCTGCCATTGCCACCGCCACCGGCGGCAGCGGGGCAGGCCGCCGCCAGCACTTCTAACATCGCCGCCAGCTGCGGCGGCGGCACGTCCAGCAGCTCCATGGAGAAGTTGTCCAGGAGCGGCAGCGCCGCCACCCCGCTGAGCAGCTCTGTCTCGAAGGTGCAGGCTACCTGTTTTGGCAAGTGAAGAAGCGCATTTTAGTGCAGAGCGCACCCTGCTGATCAGACCATGAAAACACACACACTCGTTTTCACCACCACCACCACCACCACCACATCAGCAGCAGCATCCGCCAAACAGCCTCAGCTGAGTCAACGAGATCATCAGAGCACAAGGACCAACCTGGTGGAGAGAACGAGAGATAGATGGAGGGATACCGCGACAGCGAGTAGAGAGACGCTGCGGGTAGAAGGGTGAGGCTAAGAGTGCGGGGAGGACTGCAACACACACGCGCGCACGCATCAACCCTCCCTCTCTCCCTCCCTCTCTCGTTATCAGGAACTGCCAACTGCCACCACTGCCACCAAACCCGTCCCACGCCTCGAGCTTCGTTTCGGACAAAACGAGAGGGTCCCACGGGTGCTGATTAAAAGCCCCGCCGCCCCACCGCCGGCTCCAATCCCCTGTCCTATCCGCCCCACCGCCCCACCACCACCCCGGGGGATTCTTGACCCACTTGTAGATGCAGGGACGTCAGGCGGCGGAATAACCCCAGCACAGGGCCCCAGGGCTGCCAGTACGGCAGGTTTGCCACGGCGGAAGGAGAGGACGACCGAGCCTTGATAGCAACTCCGTAGCCTGCAGAGGGCAATGGCTGCTTTTCCTGCTGCTGCTGCGGCGGCAGCGCCGGCGGCGGCGGCGGGGCCGGTGACGTCAGCACAGGCTGAACCTGGCGAACCACGGCCGCTCCGCCGCGTCCAACGCTGCTGAGGCCCCCCCCTGCTGCTGCTGCCGCTGCTGCTGCCGCCGCCACTAGACCTTGCACGGTCGACGGCTGTTGCGGCTGTTGCTGTTGTGGCGGCAAGTGCAGCGGCGGGCAGGTCACCCGACTGATGTCAAGGCTTCGCAACTCGGGAAGGCCCTCCGCGAGCACCTGGTGGCGGACATACATACATACGTTCGTACATACACACAAGTTGGTTATAGTTAGAAAAGCAGACAGGCGGACAGGCAGACAGACAGACAGACAGACAGATGAGGGCCTAGACACGTCAAGCCTCCAGGCCGTAAGTGACTCCCCCCGGGGTGTTTTCGTTGTCTCCGGATTCAAAATCCAAAAAAAAACGATTCCCAACCGTCGGCATCCCCCCTTTTTCGCCTTATAATCATCCATATAATCACCCCGTCGCCAGCACCTCCGCTCCCTCCGCGTGACATTCAAGCGTGGCAACCCCCTCATACAGCTCCCGCAAGAGCTAATCCGCCCACCTTGATGTGCGCTCCATGCACCGTGTTTCCCGACAGCGCGTCCGTGAGCGCCAGGTATGTAAGTCTGTTGAGCGCCGTCAGCGCCGCCAGCTGGTTGCCGCTGACGGGGTGTAGGTGATTGAGCGACAGAGAGGTCAGGGAGGTGCACCGCGCCACCACCGCCACGTGCTCGTTGCTGATGTGTGACCAAGCTTGTCGGGCAACTAGGGAGGCGTCGCCATCCACCTGTCAACGGAGGGCACGGGGGGCCCGCGGCGGCCACGTGGCACGAGCGGGGTGAGGGGTGAGGGGTGAGGACGGCGCTGTTGGGGGGGTGGGTCTGGGGTAGGAGGTAGGGGGGAGGTAGGGAGCCGTCCTCTCCTGACCGCCCTCAAAGGTGCCACATTTGCATGTATGTTTCCCTTTGCATGTATTTTGGTGGTACGCCACTTCAGATTGTGATGTACGACGCGGTACGACGTGGTGCGACATGTTACAGCGTACCTGCATGAACTTCGCTCCCCGCATGTCAAGGCACTGCAAGCTCCGAAGGGACGTTATCGCGTCCAAGTGCTGGGGATTGGGAAATCCTAGACCTGCAGCCAGTGTCAGCGACACCAGCTGGGACAGCCGGGACAGCAGCGGGGGCGTCCTTGCGACACAGGCCCCGGAGGCGGCGACAGGGGTTGGTAGATGCATCACACCAGCTGTGCCGCCGCCGCCGCCGCCGCCATAGTCTGCACAGCGCCCATGCCATCCTGCCGAAGCTGTCGCTGCGCCGCCTCCGACGGCTGCGGCGGCGGCAGTAGCGGTTGCGGACGGGCCTGCGCCGGCGGGAATCATAGCGCCATCTCCACAAGCTCGGGCATCACCTATGGCGGTGACACCGGCACTAAACTCGGTACGTTGCGCCCGGCGTGCGCCAGCGGATGCCGCCACACCGCCGCCGCCACTGGCCCCGACGGAGGCAAGCTGTTTAGCAGCACCTCCGCCACCTTTGGCCGCAGCGGCAGCAGGAGTCGCCGCCGTGGCGGCTGCCGTACCCGCCGCTGCTTTCCCTTCCTGGGCTCCAGAACTGCCATGGGTGGCATGAACGGCATTGCCGCCGCTGTCGCCAGTGGTCTGTGTCCGTACGGGGATCACTGCATGCGCCGTGCAACCGCTGCCGTCAGCGTGCCGTGAGTGACTGCCATCGCCATTACCGCCGTCCCTGCTGACACCGTCGCCGCTGCCTCTGCCCCCACGGGTCGTTCCGCCGTCCGTGCCATCGTCGCCACGACTGTTCTTCTTGCGAATGATGACATCAGCCATCCCCGCCGTCTCTGCCATTGGAGTGGCAGCAGCTGCCGTTACCATCGTTGCAGCGGCAGCAACGGTATCCGTTGCTTTCGGTTGGTTTCGGTAGTTTGTTCCGCGAAGGCGCGCCCAAACAGCTGTCCGCAAGCCCGCATTGCCCAGAGGACATGTGCTGCACCACTCCTCCACCAGCACAAAGCCGCCGCCGTCAGCGCCGCCGCCGCCGCCGCCGCCACCACCACCACCATGTGTTCCCTCCCGGGGCTCCCCAGCGCTCACCCTGCCGGGGCCACTGTCCCCCGCACTAGCATCCGCCGTCATCGTCAACCCCCCCGCTACCCCCTCATCCACATTAGCCAGGTCCATAGATTCCACGGGGCCAGCGCCGCCGCGGCCGGCGAACCAGTCGCCAGCACTTAGAGGAGGATCTCTTCCGCTGCCGCGGCCGCTGCCAATCCCAACCTTTGAACCGGGCAAGCAGTAGCAGCAGCCATCCGCCTGTCCCGGAGTGCTGGGTACTCCACTGCCGCCACGCTCCGGAACCAGAGACCTGCTGCCAGGGAGGGCCCCGAAACCATCATCAGCCTCGTCTGCCACCGGACGCCGTCGTTCAACCGCCATTGCGACATTGCATGATGAATAGTGATGGTAGCAGCGATGGGATCCATCCCGATCTGGGTCAGATTCACCAGATCTAGATCCAGAACGAAATCCGCCAGCGGCTTCCTCAACGTGGCGGTGCGCTCTCAACGATCCTTGAAACGGTGCGCTGCAGGACGAGCCACGCGGATGTCCGTCTGCCGCCGCCATAGCCGCCACCGCAGCAGCGACAGCGACGGCCGGCGAGCAGCTGCCCACGGGTACGACACAAGGCTCCAACGCCGCGTCTGCATCCGCTTCTGCCGCCGTCACGCCGCGTCGGGGCTGTCGCTGCGCTGGCGGTTCCATCGTCACCGTCTGCGTCAGGCTGCTCTCGGCACCGACCTGGTACGGCACCGCTGCCGCCGCATCCGCTGCGGCGTTACTTGGGATGGTTCGCCAACGTCGCCAACGTCGTCGTCGGCCCTTTAACACACCATCGCAGGCGCCAACGCCAGCGCTGCACACCTCTGGGTTGGCGCCGCGGCTGGGGCCGTTAGGGGCGGTGATGGCGGCTTCGTCCTCCAATGCCTTGAGCGCATCAACCACCGTGAACATCTCCTCATCCTCACCATCACCATCACCGTCAGCGTCGGCGTCGGCGTCACCATCACCGTCAGCGTCAGGCGAGCTCGTAAACGGTATCCGGGGGCCGCAACGACAAGAGCCGACAGCAGTGGCCGCCGCCGCCGCCGCCGCCAGGGCCGTGTGCTGCTCAGCGCTGCTGTTCCCCCCCTGTAGCTGTAGCTGTAGTTGCTGCAAGGGCGGCTGTAACTTCCGCTGACGACGCTGATTACGTGGCTCGTTATTATTGACATTAAAGGCAGCTGCTTCCCAGGTTCCGACGGCTCCGGAACCCACCTCCAAAGATCTATACGTACCGTCCCGATTGCCGTCGCCAATTCCTGCGGGTCCTTCCGCAACAATCGTTGCTGCTGTTGCTGCGTGCAGTATGCGTGCCGGAGCAACTCCTGTGTCATCTGCTCCTCCTGCGGTTGCTGGTATTGTTGCTGCTGCTGCCTCATCCATTCCCAATGCTTCAGCTGCCGCGTCGGCGCTTGACGCGCGTTTGGACGTGCGCTGCAGCCGGTGCTGTGGCTGCGGCGGCGGCAGAGCTGGCGGCAGCGGCGGCGGCGGCGGCGGCGGCGGTGGCGGCGAGGCCATGAAAAGCGTGTATGGCGTGTGTCCGGACAGCGACAAAGACACAAGACGGCTAGACAGCAGCTGCTGCAGTGCGGCGCTCACCTCCGCCTAAAGAGGGGAAGGCACGCACACAAAATACAGAGGGATGTGGATTTGGGGAAGAATCTGAAGCTTCAGCACGACGAACCAAGGTATGGAAAGTTGGGGACAGTTTATTAGGAGTGGCCGTGCGGTTGCCCTAACCTGAAAAAGGCCCAAGCAGCTCGAGGGAAAATGCGACTCTTTCCTTGTACGGCGACAGTCACAGGCGTGGAGGAAGTATTAGCAGAGAAGGCTCAGCTGCTGACTTGGGGCGTTTTATTTCCATTCCGGCTTTTATCCGCCTCAAATTCGTCAAAACATGAGCACCGCGACCTTGGCGCTTGCCGATTCTGAAAAAAAAATGCCGTACCTGCAACCAGCGACCGCTGCCGACCTCACCGCCGCCGCCGGCCGCCGCCAGCGGCAGTGGCTCTGCAAAGTTTAGGCTGAGGTTGTCGTACGACGGAAACGCCGATGCCAGCTTGTCTGCCGCTTCCAGAAAGCTCCACACGACAATGCTGCTGCTGCCCACAGAGCTAGCGACGCCAGCTGCCTGCGAGTCGCTGGCCTCGGCCTGCATCCGTGTCGCCGCCGCCGCCGCCGCAGCGGCGGCAGCCGTTGCCGCCGCCACTGTCGACTGACGGTGAAGGTTGAAAACGCCAGCAAGTGAGTCCAGCTCCGGGCGCTGCACAGCGGCGGCGTGGCCACAGGACCCGTCGCCGCCAGCGGCCGCCGCTTCCGGAGCTGCACCTGGAGCCGGCAGCGCGCCAGCACAAGCAGCAGCGGCACTTCTGCAGCCGTTAGCTGCCGTACACGTGTACGGCTCCTGCAGGTGAGCTTGCCTCGTTGGGGGCCTGTCACTGGAGGCGGAGGCAAAGCCGCGGCCCGTCAACGCTGGCCGCTGGCATGGCAGCGCCGGGTTCTGTTCCCTTAGACCGGCTTGGAGGAGTCTCTGTGGGGCTCCCTGCTGGGGCGAGATCCGGACCTGAGGCAGCGTGTTCGGAGTGAATGGCGGCACCGTGCTGAGGCGGCCGTACCCCTCATCGGGTTGTGCTGCCGCCAGCCCCACGTCGGCTGCCTGATGTTGCCGCCGCTGGTGGTCCTGCGCGGGGTTTTCGGCGGCATCAGCAAGTGCAGCAGGTGCAGCAGGCGCTGCTGCTGCTGCTGCTGCTGCTGCTACTGCTGCTGCTGCTGCTGCTGCTGCTGCTGCTGCTCCGCCACGACCCGCGGGACGTCCCGCCGCCGTGCCCTTGCGTGTAGGGCGCTGTTGCTGCTGTGGCTGTTGCTGTTGTTGCGGCTGTTGCTGTTGTTGTTGTTGTTGTTGTTGCTGCTGCTGCTGCGCATCCCCAGGGGGATTGCCTGTAGGTTGCAGGCCCGAAGCTGGAACTGCGCTGCGGTCAGGAACTGTGAGGCGGACTGTGCGGACGGCAAGGCTGACGCCGCGACGCCAGTTCTGACAGACACACCTAAAGTTTCCCCAACTGTGAGGCCCTGCCCGCCGCGCAATCTCCTACAAGCACGCAGCATCGGCAACCCGGGATTTGTATCGCAGCGCTTTACGACACAATATGAGCAAAACCTAAACCATGTCATAATCGGAAGTAACAAAAACCACCTCAAAACCCAGGCACTCCAGGATACTGTGCAGGCCGGCAAACAGAAGCAGGCTGCACATGCGACCAACCATGCCGGCTGTCCGCCACTGGCTTACCTGGAGAAGTTCACTTGTGAGTGACGTTCCCCAGTCATATGATTTATTGAATAATCGTGGAGGATTCTTCGCGTTAACGCCCTCACGACCTGCATGGCGGGACGCAGGAGGAGTTCGCACGTTGTGCACTGCACACTCGCCGTCAAAGTTTGTGCGCTTAGCTGATTGCCACATCCTTAAAGCAAATGGCAATGTGCTCGTCCTTGCAAGCTGTCGGCAGCCTATAGGCCGGTCTCGCCATCCCAGCAGTGCTGCGACCCGCTCACCGCTGTTTGTTGTGTCCATTATCCCCTGTATCTTGCTCCATCCAATTGCGCGAAGCAAACCCCATCTACTGGCTAGGAAGAACGATTGCAACAAGCATGTGAAGCGTTTGCCTGGGGACTGAGCATGGCGGCCAGGCGCTTCTAGGGGTTACATTAAACAAGGATTATGCATTGGGAGAGCTCTGAGGGCGTCAACCTCCATTACACTGGAAGCCTTGAACTTCTGGCAGTATGTAAGGGATTTGGTGCGATACGCCTCCCTGGCCGACGCTGACCCTCCTGGCGGACGAGAAACAAGAACCCGATACGAAAGATACGCAGCAGATACGCGCCGTACAAACGCCACGCTGTCACTTTCGGTCCATTGCTCACAGCTGGCTATAAAGGGGACAACTCGCATGTTCATGTAGCGCGTTGTTTTTCTGCTTGATCGCTATACGATCCCGTGCTTGCACTTTACCAGGACATGCTAAGCACGCACACAGGCGTGAATATTTGATAGCACTATTGCATTAGGCATTGGTGTGTAAATTATGATGTTTTTTGTTTTGTGAGCGTTATGACCTTGTACGGCCTAAACGAGCGAAGGCGCTTACGGGCCTCCAACACCGTATACCAGTGTTTAATATTCTAAGAGGAGAGCCATGAATTACAACCAGTTCATGCAGTTGCGTTGGGCTTTCGGTTGGGTCATGTAACGGCCCTTGAACGTCCAATGGTGAGCTCAAGCTTATCATGAAGTCTGTTTCTAAGTTGCACCAGGTCTGCAGGGGAAGCCAACCGCAGAATGCATGGAACCATGGACCGCTCTTCTGTGCTCCAAATTGCGCTCTGTGCCACTAGTGCTGGAGTGGGGCATGCAGTTTGTGCAGACGCACCAAATTTAGCAAGTACACCTAGGCGTGTGAAAAGTTGGCCATGTTGGGTACATGCGCACTGACACCGGTTAGGAGTTATGACAGACATGACCGCCGTAAGACCGAGCGCAATAGAAGAGGGCATGGTGATAATCCTGCAGCTATTGTATGCGCCCGACTAGTGGCAGACGCCATGGGTATAAGTGGCGCCCAAACTCTGATGACGACAAACGAAGCAAGTGGCGCGTCACATGACTGTAGCTTCGACAAAGTATGTGCGTATGGGAGACGGCCAAGACCCCACTGACCCCCCTCTTACTGGGGGATTCATCATTGATTAGGACGCCGGCAGCAGCCGGGGCTTCCCGAGCCAAACAAGCAGGCCAAGTCCAGAAAATAGCTCCCCTACGCGCTTGATAACAACCGCTGTGCTCCTCTGTGCTGTGCGGTGCATTACTCCACCCCCGGGAGACGTGTGCACCCCGCTACCCCCGAAATCTTCCCAAACATATATACGGCAGTCCTACACACTTATCGTTGAAGGCTCTTCGCCATGCGGGCCTGAACAGGTGCACTAACGGGTTAAGGCTTGTGGTACTAATCCGCATTCTTGCCCTTAATTCAATCTAAGGGCAGCAGACTGGCTGGCCCTACCTTTTCGTGCTCGCAGTCCACAAACCAACAAAAATCCTCGCGTTGTGAATCATTTACCTTAATGTGGAAGGTAAATGATTTCCAGGAAGACACCGGGGGCGGTATATATAGTCCTTGACAGTTCCGAAAAGATGATGTTGACGCACAGGGCCTATAGCCTCGCACGCAGAAGACCGGGGCTCGGGGCACACATTCAAGGAGTGGCTTGCTGTTGTCATGTATAACCGTGACTAACGAACTTCTAAACTGTGCGACGACAGGGCATAACATTGATGGTATTGATAATTTTGGATTATCAAACCCGCTTTAATGACTTGCAAGATGCTCAACACGTAAAAAAAACAGTATGGATAGGCTTGTGGGCGCCATCTCGGGCGTCCTCAAGACGTCTAACGCAACGACCAGTCAGCCCGCAGCACAACATGGTGATAGGCAGTATCTTCGGCTTCCTTTGGAAAGCGCTCGAAAGTTACGTTGGTTCGAAAAGGCTGACGTGCAAGCATTGACGAAGTCACACTTCAGAGAAAAACGTGAACTGTTGGATACCTTAGCTATCCTTAGGAAGCTGCTCGTGCGCCATGGCTTGGACGAGGCGAAGCTCAACGCAGAAGTTGCTGCTCATCTACGCACAGCGCAGGAACTCGCGGAGGAACACGAAGGAGTTGCAAGTGTTTTGCTTGCAGCGCTGGAGCCCCATGTACAGCAGCTGCGATTTGAAAACGAGCGGTTGCAAGCCTTGATCCAGATGTAAGTCGCTTGCCTCCCGCGCGCACGGTTTGCGCAGCGCCTATTTCGTACCCCTTTATGACCGAATCTCCAAACCTCATCAGCTGAGGTTGCCCATTTGGGGTGTTCCGGTGTTGCCTGCGATGCTGTCCCAGGGGTCAGCTGGCAGCAGGAAATGGCATTCCCAGCCGCGCAGACGGAAGGGCGCCTGAGGCATCCAGCGCCGGCAGCGTGGGGGAAACCTCTCACATCAACCGCGCGGCAGGGCTCCGAGCTTTGACGTCGGCGACCCCGGTACCACGGCGCCTCGAGCATCTGGACCTTGCTCAGATCCGCTGCTGCGCCATCGCCCGCATGGTACGCCTAACTGCAGCTGCCAGCTGCAAGTCCTAAACATTGCACTGCAGTGCAAGCGGGTCTGGGAACCCTCTGCCATGTGTGACACCTGGTCGACACCCGCGTCGACCCCGGTCCCACCCACCCAAAACCTGCCATTGACAGGACCCAGAGGTGAAGCAGCAGCTGGTAGCTCTGGAGGCTCGCTGCGAAGAACACGCCAAGGAGGTTTCGGAGCTGAAAGCCGCGTTGGCGAAGCAGCAACATCAGCATGCGGCGGCGGGCGGCAGCCGGCGAAGGTGCGCAAGTGGGGCCAAGAAAATGCGAACTCTGGCAGGTTGCAAGACCATGGCCTTTGGGTCTGCTGGCGCGCGGCAGCGTCGTTGTGGGAGGACGTTCTCGTGCCCTCCTCGGGGCGCGGCGGGTCGGGACATTGGGCGGGTGGGTTGTTTGCGTCGGATAGTGGTGTATGTGCTTGCTTCTTCTTCTGAATAAGGGAGCAACATACCGCCCCTCCCGCGCTCCTAATACGCGAGCAACCCGGGCAGAGAATCAGGTGGCGTTTGGATACGGTCATGGACAGGCAGGCAGGGAAGGAGGCAGGGAAGGAGGCGGGGAAGGAGGCAGGGAAGGAGGCAGGGAAGGAGGCAGGGAAGGAGGCAGGGAAGGAGGCAGGGAAGGAGGCAGGGAAGGAGGCAGGGAAGGAGGCAGGAAAGGAGGCAGGGAAGGAGGCAGGGAAGGAGGCAGGGAAGGAGGCAGGGAAGGAGGCAGGGAAGGAGGCAGGGAAGGAGGCAGGGAAGGAGGCAGGGAAGGAGGCAGGGAAGGAGGCAGGAAAGGAGGCAGGGAAGGAGGCAGGGAAGGAGGCAGGGAAGGAGGCAGGGAAGGAGGCAGGGAAGGAGGCAGGGAAGGAGGCAGGGAAGGAGGCAGGGAAGGAGGCAGGGAAGGAGGCAGGGAAGGAGGCAGGGAAGGAGGCAGGGAAGGAGGCAGGGAAGGAGGCAGGGAAGGAGGCAGGGAAGGAGGCAGGGAAGGAGGCAGGGAAGGAGGTGCTTTCTGCTCATTACCACGATGCCGCGAAGTGTCTTCTCCATGGCGCATCCTGGGGCTCCTTACCTCTTACGTGGGCTACTAGCAGCAGCCGTAGCGACATCAGGGCAATCCAACCCAAAGATGGATGTAGTCCAACGTTCCGGTCCATCACCTCACCGCACCTCGTGTCACACACTTACAAGATCACGTACCATATCCGCACATGGCGCACCGTCTCTGTTGCCGCCGTAGTTGTGCTCACTGTTGCTCACTGCTGTAGCGGCGCGCACCTCAACTCTCGATTGAAGCGTTATGTCTTTTCTTGTGTCGCTTTTTCTTCTTGTTGTTGTATTTGCGTCGCTGTCGCTTCTTCCCGTCCGGCCTTATGTCTTTCCGCAGGGGTGCTGAGGCCACCGCGCCCATGCAGGACATGCTGTTGTCGCTACAGGAGGCGGCTCGTGAGGAGGCACGCAAGGCGGCACTGGCGGACGCGCGAGCCACCAGGCTGGAGGGCGAGCTGAAGGCGCTACAGGTAATGCGGGGACCGAGGCCCTGAGGTGCTGCTGGTGTTGGGCGCTTTACTCCGTGACGCTTTTCTGGTACGAGAAACGCTCCTCTGGTACGAGAACAAACATGTGTCACAAGAATGCTTTTTCATCCTGTGCGTTTTTTACAAGTCGTCATTGGTATGTTATTTATATGTTCGTGTTGCCGCCGATATTATATAACGGCGATACAACA